TTCTCTCTCTCTCTCTCTCTCTCTCTCTCTCTCTCTCTCTCTCTCTCTTTCACAAAGGAGCACAGGGTAATCCAATGGATAAAGGATATTTGGAGGAAGGGTTTCTCTGTGTAGCTGTCCTAGAACTTGCTTTGTAGACCAGACTGGCCTTGAACTCACAGAGATCCACCTACTATAACCAAGCTTTCTTTGGACCGCCAGCTCCCAAATAAGACAAGGAGACTTTTTATTCATTATGAAAACTTGGCCTTAGCATAGGCTTGTTCCCAGCTAGCTCTTAAAACTTAAATTAACCCATTTATATTAATCTACATTCTGCCACATGGCTTAGTACTGTACATCCAACTTCCTCTGCGTCTTGCTGGCAAATCTCTCTTCCCAGGTTTCTTCCCAGAGTTCCTGTCTTTCCCCGGAAGTCCTACCTATCCTCTCCTGCCTAGCTATTGGCCGTTTGACTCTTTATTAAACCAATCAGAAGGTGCCTTAAGCAGGTGAGGAAGGACAAAGACACATCTTCACACAGTATACAAGAAGATTATCCCAACAGCCTACCTCTTCCTCCCAAGTGCTGGGATTAAAGGTGTGTGCCACCGCCACCAGGCCTAAGGATATTTTTTGAAGCAAAACTAAACATTTATATGCAAAAATAGAAATCTCAACCTAAATCTCATACTTTACATAGAAATTAATTCAGTTGGTCATAGATCTAAGAACAAAACCTGGAGTATGGCACTAAAGTTGTTTCTGTTCTTCAGTTTTTAATTGAATGTGGGGGGGGGGAGGGAGAGAGAGAATGGGGGTCATGCATGTGTGGAGGTCAGAAGACAGCTTGGGGGATCACTTCTCTCCTTCCATCATGTGGGTCCTGGGGATTGAACTATGGTTGTCAAGCTTGGCCCACTTAAGGGAAAATGTTTGGAAACCGCTAAAGAAGATTTGTGTGTTTCTGACAGACTCGGCTCCATCACCATCAGAAACAAATTCCTCTTACTTGGCATCTGTTTAGAGCAGCCGTGTGGTAAATACAAAGGCTTGCCAGACATGTAGGCTGGGGTGGGGGTTAGCTGTGTTCTGTAGATAACTCCGCTCTTCTGACCACCTGGAAGTCACTCCTGCAGGTGTTAGGAGCTGGCCCTTACTATCACACAGCTCCGGGTCTTGCGTCATCAGCCGGTGCTGGCAACTATGTATCTGCCTTTAAAAGCCAGACGTGGACCCCCCCCCACCCCCCTCTCTGTTTCCTCTCTGCTCTGCTTCCCCCACCATCTCTCCCTCGCCCCCAGGCCTGGCTCTCCTCCCTTCTATCCCCTCCTTCCTCCTAATAAAGCTCTTTGTAACTCTGGTAGCTGTGGCCATGGGCCGTGACTTTTCCGCCGGTAACCAGCACCGTTTACCTATAAGCGCAGATAATACTGTATGTGTCGTGGAGAAGAACTGGCTGCCACTTTGGGTGATGAGCCTCTCTGATAGAGAACAACAGACATCTTGTCTCCATATGTACTGCTAGGAGGCTAGAGCATCACTTACATGCTAGTATGATTGGTGTTGAAGGACAGAATTACAATTTAAAGGTTTTTTGTGTGTTTTTTGTTTTTTTTTCTTTGAGATCGGTTCATGTAGCCCAGGCTAGCCTTATACTCACTATATAACTGAGGAACCCTGAACCCCTGATCCTCGTGCCTCTACCTCCCAAATACTGAGGTCACAGCTGTGTCATTTACACCCTCATAAGATTCCCCCCATCTTTATAGTGTTGGGAGTTAGACCCGAGACCTTTTGTGTGTTAGACAACCACTGTCACTGACCCACATCCACAGCCCACTTCAAAGATCTTACTGGGCCTTAGTTTTGATGCTAGAGTCGGACAACACAAAAGCACAGGTTAGCTTATTGCTCTTAGGTTTTGTTTTGTTGCTGTGCTGAGAATTCTAGAATTGGGCAGCATCTTATTCCGTGAGATCGTTAAGATTTTGATAACTGAGGAGAAGAATTTGTTGACTTTTACACAAAGCCTGAAGAGAGCAGACACGAAGGGGAAACGCTTCATTTCCCAGGGGCTTTCCTTGGCAGGCGGGCAGCAGGACTGAACAACTGAGAAACAACTGGCTAGTGCTCGGATGACTGAGGCCACTGCTAGAAAGACTACGAGGAGAACAGCGGATTGCCAGACCAGTTCAAACTGCGCGACTGGGGAATTTGCCTGTGCTTTTCTCCTGGCTTCTTTGAAGATCGGGTAGAAGCTTAGTTCCCTGGTGTTTAGATGACATGGAACTTGAGTTTTTAGCATGGTAACGACATTTGCCTCTTCTAAAACAATGACCTGGAATCTTAACACTGGTCATATTTGACTGAAATCTAATGAAAAGGAAACATCACACAAATCCAAAATTAATTTGGGGTAGGAGGTCTTGCTACAGAGCCCAGGCTGGGATCACAGATACATGCACCACCATGCTCAGGCAAATTTTTATTTAAAGCACTTGGGGGGGGGTGTTGCTTTGTTTGTTTGTTTGTTTTGTTTATTTGTTTGCTGTCTTAGGATTTCTATTGCTGAGACACCATGACCTTATAAAGGAAAACATTTAATTTGAAGTGACAGCTTACAGTTCAGTGGTTCAGTCCATTATCATCATGGCAGGGAGCATGGTGGCATGCAGGCAGACATGGTGATGGCTACATCTTGATCAGAATGCAACAGGAAGTGGACTGTGACTCTGCACAGTATCTTGAACATACATGAGACCTCAGAGCCAACTAACTCCACAGTGACACATTTTCTCCAACAAGACCATCCTCACTCCAACAAGGCCACACCTCCTAATTGTGTCACTTGGGGGCCATTTTTTTTTTCAAACCAGTTGGTTTTGGTTTTTATGTATTTATTTATTTAAACACAGGGTTTCTCTGTATAGCCCTGACTGCCCTGAAACTCGCTCTGTAGACCAGGCTGGCCTCAAACTAATAAAGATCCGCCTGCTTCTGCCTCCCGAGTGCTGGGATTAAAGGTGTGCACCACCGCCGCCAGGCAGGAAAGTATTCCTAACTGACATTGCCACATAGATAGTTGGTTGGATCAGGACCTGCAAAGCTGGCTCAGTGTTTAAGAGCACTTACTGCTCTTGCAGAGGATCCAGAGTTAGTTTCCATCGCTTGTAATTCTAGCTCAAGGAGATATGACGCCCTCTTCTGGCCTCTTTTGTCACCTGTGCTCAAGTGCACATGCCTATACACAGATACACTTACAATAAGTCTTTTTAAAAAGTATTTTAAGTATTATAACAGCTGTTTAGACTTATAGTCTTAAGATTGTTTAGACTTACGGTATTCTTAAGAAACAGTAAAATATTTAGAAGGCAGATGTACATAATGCATGCAACTGTAGTGGGTTAGAAAAGACTTATGAGTGATCCAGCAAATAATAAGACAAAGGGAGCAAAGATGCCCGTGTTCTTTATACTGTTTATGTAGGTTAAAGGCTTCAGATTATTGCCAGATTTCCTTAGTTAGATCCCCAGGAAACAACTCCCGCAAGTTGTTCTCTGGTCTCCTTGCAAGTGTGCGTGCACGTACACACACTAAATAAACAAATGTGATTTGAAAAACTCACCACTTTCCAATACATCAGGGTGTATTGCTATACATAAGAGTATTTTGAGCTGAGTGCTTTATCTGCTGTAGCTTGTGCTGGTCTAGGTGAACCACATACCAGTCCACAGGTGTTGCCTCTCAATTGTTAATGCCAGAGAGCCATGTGGCCAGCAGCCTGGGTTTGTGGTACCAGCACCCAGCAGCAAAGCTCCTTGAATACCTGTGAATGTCTCAGTTGCGCTTGTGTTAACTGTTAAGCTTACATGTTACTGACCTGAACATAATCTGTTGGTCCATGTTGTGCTTTGATGACCATGTTTCTCTTTCAGCCCAAAATGGAGTTAATCCTGACTGGGAGAAGAAAGTTATTGAATACTTCAAGGAAAAGCTGAAGGAAAACAATGCTCCTAAATGGGTGAGCTTACTGCTGTTTACAGGGAGGGAGTTGGCTGGCTGTAGTTTCTCTCAGCAGAGTAGAGACCCTCATGTGATTAGAAGTTCCCAGTACAAGGCGTTGAAAGGCTTTGGTCTGATTCTGTGCTGCCTCTAGGTGGCAGTAAACGACTGTTCCTTTCTGGTAAACCGTGGCTCTGAGAGCGGCTGTCACCTGTGTTTTGTCCCCTCCTAAAAGAATTGGCATGCGTTAATACTCAGAGAACTCATCATAGTGCATGCCTTTCTGTTGATTGAAACGGTTCAGGAATTCTTTGTAGTAGGTGATGTCTACAATCTGGGAGACTGACACTAGAGGATCATGACAAGTTTGGGGCCAGCCTCGACTATTAGTGAATTCCAGACCATTCTGAGCTACCAAGTGAGACCTTGTCTTAAAAGAAAGGAAACAAGAAACAGAACATAGAGAAGGCAGGCGGGAGGGTTGCACGTGCTTTTGGAAGGGAAAACATCCTATTATGGTCAAGTGTTATCACAGGACGGGAAGAATTCAGAGGAAAGGTTTTCCTTCCTCAGCAGTTACGTTAAGCATTGAGAGCATATAGCTTCCGGATAGGGCTAGAGTTTGAATATGTATGTGTTTTACATTTAAGGATGACACCTTTGCTGATTTGCTTGTTTGCTGTCTTTGAAGGTACCATCACTGAATGAAGTCCCCCTTCATTATTTGAAACCTAACAGCTTTGTCAAGTTCCGTTGCATGATTCAGGATATGTTTGACCCTGAGTTTTACATGGGAGTTTATGAGACGGTTAACCAGAACACAAAAGCACGAGTATGTAGTGCTTTCTTCTTAAGCTCTATTTATAATCTGTGATATTAATTATATTTATAGAATACTCTGTCTTTTATTTTGGTTATAGGTTCTTCATTTTGGAAAATACAGGGATATAGCAGAATGTGGGGTATGTATCTTTTATGATATTTGAAACTTTTTTTAGCATGATTTTTTTTTCACCTGAAAAATTCATTTTTCTTTGGTTGGTCTTCAATGTATCTGTCTTGTGTGTGAATGAGTTCTTAAAAATCAGGCAGAATATTTTTTTAATTTGTCTTTACGAGTTTTTCTGACATAATTTTGTCTTTTAAAGATTTTTATCAAGATTGTAAATGACAAGGTATCTATGACTAAAAGCATAGTCTATGATTGTTTAAATGAAAGTGAAAGATTAATTTAGGCTTAACACTTTCTTAAGTAGATATAATTAAATATTTGTAGGGTTTTTTTTTTTGTTGTTGTTTTGTTTTGTGGTGCAGAGGGCACACACCGTGGAGGTCAGAGGACATTCATGAGTCCTGGGGCTCAAACTCAGCTAATCAGGCTGTGCCCACTCAGCTGTCCTGTCACTCTCTCAGGAAAATACAGTGAAATCTCACCCTGTTTTTCTAGGGGGAGGTTGTTTGGGGGTTGTGGGGGTGGGGGTGGTATAGAGATTAAAGAAACATAGGCCTCCTAAAGTGAAGCACGAACTTTACTGAGTTGACCAGTATCCCCAACTTAAAAATACACTTTTTTTTTTTTTTTTTTTGGTTTTTCAAGACAGGGTTTCTCTGTGTAGCTTTGGAGGCTGTCCTAGATCTCGCTATGTAGACCAGGCTGGCCTCGAACTCACAGAAATCCGCCTGGCTCTGCCTCCTGAGTGCTGGGATTAAAGGTGTGCGCCACCACCGCCTGGCAAAAATACACCTTTTTGTGTGAGGATCTCGCTCTGTAGCCTGCCTGGCCTGGAACTTGTGTCCTCTTACTGGGTCCCCCCAGGTGTTGGGTCTGCAGGGGTGTTACTGCACGCTTGCCTCTACACATGAGTTTTAAAACAGACTTTTCACTGATGGAAAGAAGTAAGGAAAGCCCTCTTCCCTGTCCGTAACAGGGAAAGCACATAGAGAGGATTGGGTGTCATGTAGCTGTGAAAGTCAGTTGAACTTCATTTTGACACCTGCTCAGCATGTGGTGTCTTAGCTGGGGCTGTGAAGTTTCTTTTATTTTCACAGACCATTAGCATAGCTAAATAAGCCAGACAGTTAATAATGTCTCCTGTCATTTGCTTTATGTTTTTCCTGTGTTTTCTGTTGAAACACAGACCCTAATAGTCAGTTGTTGGGAAGGAAATAAGGATTCCAGGCAGGTCAGTAGGAAGATGTAGCAGGAATGTTAAAAGTTCTTATTAATAAAATCAAACCCGAGGCGAGTTATTGGGGTCCATGCTGGTAGATCAGAGAGACAGAACAAGCCACAGCTATCTCACCTTGCCAATTCCTCAGCTGGTCCTGTTTCCTCAGACTGGAAGCTTCTGTGTCCTCATCC